TAATTTTCAAAAAAATCGGTCATGGTGGGGGGGCCAACTTCACGCACGTATAATTTTTACATTCCCTGTCTATATGGAAGAAAATATGTCACAAATAATACTGTATCAATAATAAGATACCTACCTATCTAGTGAAACAAAAAATTTAAAATGCAAAATATTTTGCCCTCCCCTTGACAAATTCCTGCGGACGCCCTTGAGTAGATCACCTACTACGCGAATGCCGGTACTATACAGTTATATAAATTTTATATTAGGTAATTGGTATAGTCACATCACGATATCGTATAGGTAATAACTAATTTTACTCTATAGTCATGCCCTATGGTATTACCTATGTAAACACTAAACGACATATTATTATTGTTATTGTAACGACTAAAAATAAATTAGGTAATTCGGGAACTGGACACCGGTGTGGCAAGTGTGCGTCCCGTGTGATAACGTGACTATAGTGACTTTTAAGTGACTATCGAAATGTCCAGTCATCGGCAAAATTACGGAAATAAATAATAATATTAGTGTAAGACGTAGGTAGTTATATTAGTTTCAATTTTATTTTACCCAATACTGTTAATGACTTAAAACGTTTACAGAATTTAATTTTACCGTATCCGTGTAGAGCATTTTACTGTTCATTCCAACTAAATTAAGTATAATAATAACGTGGAACAATAATAATATCGAATTATCGAACAATGCATAGTATCTATTCTGTATCAAGAATCGAGATTGACGTTTATCATTTTATCAACATTTTCTTTTTTTTTCATCGTGCATTTATCGACTTGTCTGCTTGTGAAGTTGTGAACACTTAATTAGTATTTTATATTTTTCTGTGGAGTATATATTTATTATAAATTACAATGTCAGTGGTTCCTTCAAAAATAAAACTTAAGAAGAAGAAAGAAGCAACAATTGTAAAGCATCTTAAATACCCACATTGTTTATTGTCAAGAACATTCTTGAATAGAAAATGATGGTAAGTAATTTTGACTTTTTAATTGCATCTATAGCTAATAAAAATAATTATTTGTTATGCTAATGTTATTTTATGTGGCCCACTAATAATTTTTTACAGCGGGGCAACATCAAACATACTTAGTTGGGCTCTAAACAGGGTTTAAAGTGGGACATAATTTCAGAAGGGACTAATGTCTCCATATGGTTTTAAGCGTTCCATATATAATTTTATGTATTATGTCTAATGTATAAAATACTAATTTGTTAAAGAGGACACTTTTTAACCGCCGTCAGAGGTAGGGGGATTGAGTACTCCTGGGTCCCCCCACTTTAACCCCTGGCCCTAAGGGACTTATTATATACAACTTAGTTTTCAGGCTATTATTTTTAAAGTTATTGGCTATTACCCCTCCAGGACTATCTTATTGCTGGACTACTTAATTGAAAAATGTATATTATATACCTACTATATACCTACCTACCTATCCTTATTCTTCGTTAAAAAACTTAACTGAACCTAAAATACTCAACAGTATACCTACATTGAACTTTTGAAAATCTTCAAGAATTAAGCCCGGATTGTTGACCAACACTAGTAACACTAAATTCCACAAACATATACTTGAAATATTTGATTGTTATATAATCTGCATTTTGTACCTATTTACTTAAAAATATTCTACCCAATTTGATCACAGGTTAGTTTAATACGAAACAACTAATGCACACATAATATAAATGTATTTATTAAAAAAAAAAAAACAAACAAAGATCTCTTTGTAAAAAAACCTACATAGTACATATTATATAAAACAAATTATTTTAAATATATTTATAGGGAATAACTAATATAGTTTGGCTAACAGTACTATGTAGAATATCAGTTAAGAATTAATTTGTAGTAGATACCTATCAAGGTACCTATCTATAATTTAATAAATCTGTCACTTTTGTTTACAATAATTTTAATTAATTTTTACTATCTAGATAAGATTTTAAGCCTATTCAGATTTTACAATATATTTTTTTTATATATATTTTACTTTACTCAAAAAGTGAAAAAAATGAAATGTATACCTATGAAGAAAAAAAGCATTTTGTATTAAAATCTAAAATGTACCTATTTGGTTCAAGTGATCAGAAAAAACTTATAAAAAGTACAGTAAATCTTCCAAGCCGGGACTTGCAGGTTTTTGGAGTGACTGTGCAGTCAAAAATGCTAGTTTGTGTGCTAGTTGACATGGAGCTGGAACCCTCACTGTACCCTATAAAAAAAATGCCCATTAAAATTATAAAAATAAATGTTAAGTTTTTATGTTTATCGATAAACCATTAATACTTACCGACCAATTATAGTACATATGAGTCAACTTATAGGTAAGTTGTTGCATAATTGAGGGTGTAATCTTGTTTTTAGTAGTTTCACTGAGACTATCCGTAATTACATTATAGTGAGTTGGCGTAACTGTACCCGTGTTTACATGTTGAGAGATCAGGAAGAAATCGTACCTGTAATGTATTTTTTAATTTTATAAATTATTATTATTGTTGATACTTAATTATAGTTGCTGTAACATAAATATATATTATGAGTGAACATAGTATATCATGATCTAAGTTTTTTAAATTTTTTTTTGCAAATAAAATTCTTAAGGCTGTAAGTCAACTTAACACTAAGTAAGTAAATAATAATATTGTAGTATTTTTCGAACATGAGAAATATATTTTAAAGTAGCCAGTTGGCCAAGTGATTTTTAACTAAAAATTACATCTAATAACAATCAGGCATATTCTCATATCTCATATTCTTATTACAAACCTTACTAATCCAGCGCCCTGTCGTGGCGCGTGCTAAGTAAAAAAAATATAGCGGCGGCATGTCAGTGTATATTATCTCGAAGTAGGAGTTGCTCATTTAAACAGTGTACACTTTGGTGTTTTTTTTTAACCGGACCTAACTATTTATCTGCAGAATCAATTGATACCTAAAAAATTGAAAAAATCAGAAAAATTGTGGAGATGATCCTTTTGCAAAAATCATCGAAATCGTACTGCTAGAAATTAAGTTATTAAACGAAACCGGCAAACTTTTTAATGAGAAATTATAATGAATCTGGAATCGTTGCGGCCCATCTCGCGTTGTTGTGCCGACAGGTTCCCTACTCTATTTCGTGTTTGTAGTACATAATTATTGCTCTCACATTCGCGTATTTATTATTTGTTTCATTTCGTTATCGACTATCGCTTATTAAATTAAAATATATAAATTAGTCTATTGTGTACTAGACAGTGTGTTATTACTTATTATTACCGTTTTCGAAATTTTAAATATTCCAACTAAAGTTTAAAAACAAAAAATGAAAAATAAATTCTCCAAAAAAACTGTAAATGAATGAATGATAAGTTAATTAAATTAAAGAACCCTTTTTCAAAAAAACAACAAATTTAGTAAAAAAAATCAAATCTTTGGTTTCGATGTAATGACCTCAGATCTCAGTAGTAATAAAGAGAGATGGCCTCGTCTTGATAAAAACGTTTCTATAATAATCATAGAGAGGATAAATTAAAAAAAAAATTATCGATGTAAAAATTGGTGATATCACAACAAAAACACTTCGTCGAACTACGTGTAAAAAACAGCTAAGTAAAAAAATAACAGATCTATAAGCACTATAAAGATGTGATATCATAAATAAATGATAAGTGAACTTAATTAAAGTAGGCTTATTTTGTTTCAATAATTTATTTACTTTGCGAGAAATTATTTTGAGTAGAAATGTTTATTAAAATATTTTAAATTATAATGAACTTCTCATGCCTTTTGTCTATTTTGTTCACGTTATTTTGTGTGCCGCGTCGTGTAAAGTACCTATATAATTTCTTGCCAAGTAAATTAATTATTGAAACCAAATAAATGTACATTAATTCAATTTACTTAGCATTTATTTATGATATAACATCTTTATAGTGCTTGAACTGCTTGAAGATCTGTTTTTTTTTACTTAACTGTTTTTTACATGTAGTTTGACGAAATGTTTTTGTAATAATATGATTATTTTTTTAAAAACAATGAACCCACCATTAAATGTCAATAAGTATTTATTGCCTCTTTAAAGGACTAAAAAAAATTACTACCTTCAGTATAGCATACTTGCCCATAAGTTCTCCACAAATATTAGATTAATAGTGTGTTGCTTAAAAGTTATTGTCTGGGCTGCCCTGAAATTCCAATTTATCCCTGGTAATTGGTATGAACACGAAAGTAAGTAAGTTCTTACATCCTAATATACCACATTATAATATTATGTATGTCCTCTGTATTTATCACATTATTAATCCATGTGCTTTTCCTTTATGATTAATTTATTTTGAATCACAACTATGTTTAAATTAACTAAAATTGTTAGAGGAACAAAAATAACTTTTTGTTTAAACTATTAATTTTTAGAATACTTAAGATCAACTTAAGAAGAACTTGTATTACATTTTCAAGCTCAAACCTAATTTAATTGAAAATTGTATGAATTTAAACTATAAAATAATTTGAAAATAAAGTGTGAAAGGCTCTGCTGGTTAAAAGTTCCTGGTTGCAGTAGACAACAGCAAAACATCAGTTTTAGTGTCCTTGACTATAATTTCCAAATCATTATGACCCCATACCTTCCAAACACCTTATGCTTACCATGCAGTATGCATGTTCTTATAGTACTCAAAGTTAAATAATTAAAAAGCTATGTTTTAGGATTTTGATTTCAAATAGTTGAAAGAGTTGCCTGCTTAAAAATTTAAAGTAAAATAGGTGATTCTTACTTAGAAAAGAAAGTTTGAATTATAATCTTTACAATTTTATGAGGACACCACACTTTCATGTGTTATTGTCTCAGTCTTACAAACATACAATATAGCATGATTGTTTCCAAGGCCGTAACTGGAAATTAATTTCGGTGGGAGGAGGGGAGGTTAAGCTAAAAAAATATATTCTAATTTTATTATAATCTTTGAATTCCGTTGTGGTTTTCAACCCACCGAGTATCACACATTGATGTCAGTTTAGTTTACTTAGTATTAGGTACAATGTTTTTTATTTTAGTTTTTAAGATATTAATATATAGTTATTTTACTACCACATAATATAACACGAAAAAGTTTGGGGTGGGGGGGTTGTCCCCCCCAGATACGGCCTTAAATGTTTAGCTGTTCTATAATTTTGTGTATTAAACTATTAACATTTTATATTAGAGCAAATCTGTCCAGTATCAAACTAAAATGTAGAAACTTTATCTATGTTTTACTATTTTCTCATAGGGTTTTTACAATATTTTAATTTTGAAGCAAGTTATGAGTAAGTATACAAAATATTGTAAAATAAAAATTCTGATCTCATTAAAAAATTAAATATTGTAGAAAACACAGATAATGTTCCTTACCTTTAAGTTTGGTAATAAGACAGTTCACTAATATTTAAGCTTACAACAGTTCATCCTGGTAAGACATCTCTTTTAGTTTTAAGTTAGTTAACTTGAAAATTTCAAAAATCAGTTTTTAGAGTAACTTTTAAAATTAACTGTATATACATAAAATATGTATGAAAAATATAATTTAAGACAACATTGTCAACATTTGATGTCCATTTACATCCATTTCATTTCATTTATTCATAAATTAATAATATTACAGTAATATAATTATATACTTACATACTTGGGTCAGTGACAACACTATCAATCACTGTTCCAGGGGGTGGATTTTGATAAAATTTTGAATCTTTACAAAAAAATCTTGAACTGATTCGTTTCTTAACAATTACAAATGCCAAGCCAATTTTTTTTCCCCCGTAGAAATCTTTACAAGTTTTCTATAAAAAAAATCATTTATAGGTATTAAATGTAATCACAAACATTATAATATATGGAAACTTATTTATCAATATTGATACCAACCTTTACCATATCAACTTCAGTTCCATGGACATATGATAACTGTCCATCTCCCACACCATCTCTGTATATAATAATGCTGTTAGGAAGTTTGTTATTTTTGGATTTATATTTGTTTAAAGCCTCTAAAAAATAAAGAAAATATTAAAAATAATAATAGATGTATGCACATTTTAAAATTAACTTCATAACACATTGGTCATTAAAGTTATTGTAGGTCAAGCAATTACTTTTTTTTTTATAAAATGAAAAAAATATTCTACCGCCGCGAGTATCTTAAATTTTAAAAGGAGCAGTTTACTTATAAATGAAGTGGTAACAACCGTGCAATATATTTTCCTAAATTAATTTGTGCTCATATTGTATCAACAAAAGTGCTATACGCACTTTTTTAACCCCCCAGAGTCTGGGTGCTACGGACCTTGAGCAAGTATCCATAGAATTTATTTTTCTACAATGTTGGACATTAAAATAACAAATATTTTCTATAAGTACCATGTACAAACAATTAAATTAATTGATATAGAGACAGATTGTATTTTACTTTACATGGATTATTTAAATTTCACATGTTTCTCGGCATTAAAGTCAAGCAACTTACAAATAGCATTTAACAATCAGGGGCATTTCAGTGGAAAACCAGTTAGCTCGGAACCTACTGTAAAAACTAAATTCTTAAATCTCTATCATATTTTTAATCAAAAAAAAATATATATATAATTATATACATACTAGCAATGCTCATTGCAAAATAGCTTGAAAGTTCCTGTCCACTTTCATGTGGTTGAACACAGCTGAAGTAAGCAGTATGGCTGTCATTCATTGTGGCTACTAATGCACCATAAGATTTATTTATATTTTGCTTGTCGTGGCAGACGTCGAATCCAACTATCATCATATCCTGATAAAAGACATAGTAAAATTATGACTCTTAATATATTAAATTTACATAATATAAATTCAAAATTTACATTAAATCATACCTTTTCAGGGATAACAACTCGCCATGGCGCTCCACCTAGTTTACAATTAATTTGAATGGCAATTTTGGTACATACTGACATATTGGCCTTTTCTATTTGTTTGGTCAATACTACTTGAGATGGAACTAGAAAAAAATATTTTGGGGTATTTGAATTTAGTTTAAACTGAAGCAGTCAGCAAGATTTAATATAATTTTTAAAACTAGGAATCTGAACTCAAATTAACCCAAGATGGTGACAAAACCCCAAAAACTCACAATATAATTATTATTGATCATTGTTATTCAAAACTTTAATGCCAGGATTAAAATATTTAATAATATTGGGTACTAAATATCCAAAAATTTTGTTGGGGGGGGGGGTATTATATATTTTTAATCTGAGTATATAAAGTATTATAAAAATATTATAAAATGATTTTATTCTTTTTTATGCACTTAAATAACAATTATTATATTAAAAATGATTTTATGTAAAAACCAAACCTAAGTTTAAGTTACAGTTAATAGGGGAAGTACCACGAGATTAGGATTGAATTGAATTGAATTTTCTTTATTCTAGTAAATTTGTCTATTGAAGGTTGATTTAGAGCTTGGCTATACTTAGAAAGTTGGTGAGCCGACTCCATGTCCCCCCCCAACCACATCATGAACAACTGGACCCTTCAAAACTCATAGTATGGCAGGCATCTTATAGTTTTAGATAAAATACGAAAAAACTACCCTCTAAATACAGTAAAATGTGAGAACTGATAGCATACAAAATAAGACTTGAAGCTGACTTAATCCAACCTAACTCAATTGTTCAAGTGCCAGGCTATAAAACGCTAGGCTGGGACATACATTACGTTATCATATATTATTCAAATCCATGAAAATCCAAAAAATCTATAGTTTAAATCTCAAAAATTGTTTACCTGATCTTTCAATACATAGTTTTCTTTTGATGCCACTGTAGTAATCACCACGAGTTGTCGAAACGAAGCATAAAATAAATGATGGATTCATTGCGCTTATTACTTTTTCAAATGTAATTGAATATTCATGAACTTTTGGATTAACTACATCATATCTAAAATAGAAATTAAAACATTATAATATTTTTTGTAATCGAGTCAAATTATAAAATGTATTTAACAATAAATAACCAATACTAACATTTGTGGTGGTGGTAAATTAAAGCCCATATTTCTTGAAACATCAAGTATCATTTGGATAAATGGTTTAACTCGACCAATAACGTTTGTTGGACATACTATTGCCCAATGTTGTATTTCAGCACAAGTAAACATGGGAATTGAACGCGTGTATTTTGTCCAATCAGCATCAATACCAGCTGGATATTTTTTTTCATATGATTGAAGTATTTCTTGTGCTAATACACGACCCGGTATTGTAACGAGGTTATTACTCAATGTTAAATTCCACTGTGTTAGTGATTCTGCAGACTTAAATATCCAGTATAAATTCAAGGAATTATTTATTTGCTCATCAATATTTCAATAAAAATATTTACCTTGGGTGTAGTAAGAATCCGATTTATGAAATTATTATACTGGCTGATTTTTTTACTGGGACCTACTCGTGTATAGACTGCCAAATCCTTCATGAGATTAAAATTCTTTCTGTAATTGCAAACAGTATAAGTATATTAGATGAAAGTACAAATAATTAAATTATCGGTTTGTTATAACTTAAAAGTAATATTGCACTTTCATACTTTTTGATGGAGCATTAACATGTTTTATTAACATTTGTAGAAAAAATACTTATGAATAGTATAAAATTAGTCTAAATATTTTGAAAATTTTATTGTGATAGGAAATTAGGAGGAAAAGATAATTTAAGCCATAGTGATATGTTTTAAGTTTCTACATTTAACAATAAAATAACTAAAATCATTTGAAGATAAATTGTATAATAATATTTAAATATGTCATCAAAATTTGAACTTTTATTGCTAATAAAAATTGCACAAAGCTTTACAATAAACATTATTTTTAAATTTGAGTAGATAATAACGTAAGTGGAATTTTGTTTTAAATTTTTTTGTCATAAAATAACAAACTCAACAATTACTGTACAATAGAGTGGTGGTACCCACTTGTCCAACTTTTTTTGTGTATGTTTTTCCAGAGCACGAAATATTCAGAAATAATACTTATGATTCCCCCCTCCCCCCACACACACACTTCAAAGTATTAACTAGATCCATTTTACTATCAGTGATCACCCTCAAAATTGAAAATCAAAGTTTTTTCTGCCATAAGTAAAAAGTACAGATGCAAAAAAAATACAATATTATAAAACTGTTTATTGCTTCACGCAAAAAATAAATTGTAATCAATAATGTTAAGTTCAAAAATTTAACTGAGATTGTTCTTCTGTTGTCTTAATTGAAAAAGAAAATAATATTACATTTATTTTTGGAAGCAGGCATTATATAGTTCAGTGGTGCTGATCCTATGGTTCACCTATGATCAATGTCATAGGTTATTTAAGGAGGAGTTCGGTCGTGGGGTGAGATTTTTGTAATCAATTGTACCCTGAGATTGGAATGGGGGGTATGTATACTACTATACAGACATTTATCATAAGATGACATCAGAGCTGCTGATTTGTTCATTAATTACACAATTTAATGTTGTTTTGTGTAAATTGTTTATGTGGTTAGATCCTATAAATTCTATTACCTCATGTTTTCAGTTATTCCAGTCATAGTACATAATTCAGGAATTAAGTACACCAGCTCGGATTCATCACCTTCAATTTTAAAAGATTTTTTTTTCTTTGATACCAACATTGGCTGACGTGCACTGCTAAGGTGTATACCATATCTCTAAAAAAAAATAAAATACTTGCAGTCCTAGTTTAAAGCTTAAATACAGAGAACAATAGTTAGCTGAAATTCATCAGTTATAATTAACTATACAAATTCATAATTAACCTGGTAATTAACATACTTCTTTGTAATACTGTACATATGATATGCTTGATCCATCTTTCTTGCGAAATGTTGATTGGGTATTAGAATTTTCATCTATATCATCTATTCTGTAGGTTTGATTATTATATCTGGTTAGAACTGTACTTCCTATAACGCCCGCTTTAAATTTCTCCTAAAAAATAATAACACATTATATATTCCCCTATTTTAAATAATGTTACCATAATGCGAAATATTACCCATGAGTTATGAATATTATTTACTCTATAATGTATCTATGACTTATTACGAGCTAGGGTTTTGTTTTATCTGAATAGGTAGGAATTTATATTTTTTCTCTTTTCTCAATAAATTAGAAATATATTATCTGAACTGTTATCTCAGATAAATAATTAAATAATCTAGATAAAATGTAATTTTAATTGTTTATATCATAAATGTAAATTTAGTATTTTATATTCTCCAATTACACTATAGTAAATTTATATTTATTCATAATTATTATTTTATCAATCACTTGTTTATTATATTGGTATAACTATAGTTACAGTACCTATACCTAAATATATTATTCATTCTTGATTCAGAAGATTTATCAATTTCATATTTTAAATGTTCTTAGTAATAATTAAGCATAATAGGTTTTGAGTTAACAACATTTAGGCGTTCAACGGGATAACCACATCCAGCACTTCTTAAATTTGAATCGATCATTATTTTCATTATAAATCATTTAACTCTTAATTTTACTCACATAATTTTATAGGTTAATTGACAATTGACCATAGGTGAACATTGTGGTTAAATTTGTAGGGGTGCTAGAATAATCAAATAATAATAATTCAATATTTCTTTGAATAGTTTTAATTTTGGAGGTGCTATTGAAATTTCTAGGAGTCTAATCCCCCTAATGACACTCCCCCCCCTGATGCCTGCCTATGCAATTGACATAGTTAATTCTTTGCATATGACTGACTTAAAACAAAATAAAGAAGTTTTTGATAACAATTATAAATAAATCATAACAATTACTGACCATCCATTGGGGGTCTGTGAATCTAGTACTTGCAAGTTCTTTCAAAAAATCTAAAACAGTCTCCTCCCTCATGATTTTGGTTGAAATTTCGGACCGTAATAATAGACCACTATCATACATTCCAATAGTAGTCTCATAACCTGGCCAAAGTTGAAGTTTATGTTGTGGAATATTGATCTATAGTTAAAAAAAAAAAAATACATTGTAAATTTAAGGGATTATGGAAAAAAAAGTCGAATAAGTTCTACTGATTAAGTTCCATTTCTGGATAACCTTTATTCTCATTGTAATCAATGTCTATACTTGATATTATGTAGTCAACCAATTTACTTTTTGTATTATATTTGATTACATACAAGTTGTAAATGTTTATTTTAAATTTTAATGTTAAATGTTTTTAACAAATCCAAGACTGACAAAATTTTAATTTAATGTTGTGAATGTTGTATATGGCTCTATGTTTAATGGTCTTGATTATTCAAAGTAATCTAAGTATACAACAATAAGTCAAACGTATTACTGAAGTTCCAATACCAATTGTTATTTATAGTATACTTATACATTTTTTTTTTAATTATTGAATATAGTTATTAATCTTATTGTATAGCAAATATGTATGCTAAAGATGATAAAAAATGTATGATACGTTCTAATGATTAATACTTTATTTTAGGAAGAAAAAAAATAAGCAGTTGTAGGTGTTTAAAATGTTAATTATGTGAATTAAGTATAAGTATGAGAAAGATAAAAATAAAAAAGTCCAAAATACTACTATCAACCAAAATATTATTAAAACATTATAAACAGGGGGTAAATATTTATTGCATGCAACTCACTGAATCAAATTTCCATGACTTTTGTCACAACTAATTTATATGAAAATATATTGAGAATTGTGTGATATATTTTATTGGCTGCACTCATTTTATAAATTATTTTTTGTATACAATGGTTTATCAATGAATTCAAATTTGACATTCATTACAGTGACTTCTTAATGATGATATGTGTACAATTCAAACCTTCTAAAGAACATGGAGGGTTTTTCAATTAATTTTTTTTTTATTTTTTAGTATTTTGTATAAGCTAAAAACAGTTGATTCAAATGGTTTTTTTTTCCAAATAAAAAAATTAGAATCCTTTATATATATATTTATATAGGCATTTACTTTGGCTTTTTCATCGTAGTAATTTCTTCCAACCAGTGCTAGGTCTAAGTTTCTAAGGCTTCTACGTAACAATAAATTAAAAACTTGGATAGAAGCATGATTACCTTTTTCAATTATTGAAGTAAATTTTATAGTGATTATTACTATTTTGTCATCAAAATTTCTTTTTGATGAAAGCTCTAAAGTCTAAAATAAAAATAAAATTGTTATTACTTTTAAAATATAAATGAACAAAAAAAATGATAAGAAATTTACGTCTGGCTTATATTTTTGGCCACTAAACAACATTGTTCCATCAAAAATATATGCTCCTAAAACATCTTTGTGTGCGCTCAATAATCCTCTTTGAATGTTTATCCTATCTTGCACTGGGTTAAAGTCAACTCGATACTGGTATAAACTCCAATCTGTATAAGTTGTTATGGGAAAATAATTTGATATTAAATTTATAGGTTGTCCTCCTGCTCCTAGAGAAAAATATAATGAAAACAAAACATTAAATTTTGAAGAAGTTCTTATGTGTTTTAAAATTTCTATTTCAAACTTTTGTTTACTATTCTTAATACTAAAATGAATAATTACATACAGTACTAAATATAAAGAACTTTTTTTTCTTAACAATCTAGTGTCTACTAATTGTACAATCTCTAAAGGAATATTTTTTACAAAAAGCACAAATGATGAAATAAATTAAATGTACGATGTGAAATGGGTAGCCATTTATTGATGGTACCTGCTCATTAGGTGACTGTCCAAGCCTAAAGAACTTAACTAACTATTAAAAATAAATAATAAATACCATTTTAAAGGAATTTAGACAGTCTAATTTCCGTAAATTTCCCTAAAAGATAAAAAATATCCCAGAAAAAAATGTTTAGTTATAATTAATAAATTTTCCAAAATTAAAAAATATAATTATCCAATAATTTGCTATCTGAAACCAACTATTTAGAGGGATTATCTTTTTTCAGTTCAGACTTAACTTCACAATTTATCTACTACATTTTTACATAGTCAGAAAACAAGAATTAATGTTTTTAACTTCTAAGAATTAAAGTTCTTAAATACTATACTATTTTACACTTTACCTTGTTTTCCAACACTGGATTTTGATGATTCTGGTCTCTCCAACCTAAAGTACTCTGGTGTAGGTTTATGAACACGATGTAATCCTCGGCCCGTAGGCATTGGTGCATCTCCTAAGATGAAAGACAATATTATATTAATAAGTGTAATACTAATTTATAGACAAAATTAAATAACATAACATATTATGTTCAGTAAAATAAATACATTTTGTAGCCCATTACTGTGCATGGCAACTAAAAGTTGTACACATTTGACCAACAATTTTATACTACAGAGATTTTTTCTCATATTGTACAGAGTATATTTTTGCACATTGCAAGAATAGATTATATTTGAATCAAGCAAAAATTATTCATTAAAAATGAGTTATTATTTTAATATTAGTACAATGCATTAGAGGACTGTGATATAAAAAATGTAATATCTGACCAATCGCTGGTTGGTATAGTAGTTTCACTACTTTGTAGTATGTTAGTGACTGTGGGACAACATTATTATATATTGTTCAATATATTTTGAACAGTTATCATGAAATATTTTAAATGATATACTAAAAACATTACACTCTAGACTGTTTGAATACCATAATCAATAATCAATATGACTATATAATAAATCAGGTATGTATTTGATATTTCAAACTTTCAAAAGTGCAGTCGTATATATACAAGTTTGCCATGAATCATTATTTTACCAAAACTTATCAAAAATTATTCACCAGATGATAATTTTAATGTGGAAAAATAGGCTAATTTTTATAAATAATTGCCTTTAAAAATATGTATTTATAAAGGCCAAGTTCGATCAGGTTAAAAACAGTGTTATTCTTTAGTTATGCACAAATATGGTGGGTACAGAAAAATATGATAACTTGTTCTGATTGGTAGGTTGCGAAAAAATACAATGTTTACAAAAGTCAAATCATTAACAAAAGATTATGACGCAAATAAAAAGCCTGGATGAAGACTGAACATTTTAATTTGTGGTTGATGAAAATAGATGAACAAAAAATGGAAAGAGAACTTACTTTTTGTAAATGATATTTAGTACTACAATATTATGATGATATTATTCTATTAACTAACTTTAAACATAAGTAAAAAATGTGAGTGTAAATATGTAACAAATTTATTATTTCTGAATTATTCATAAGGTTTTTGATATTTCAACACTGCCCTCCCCTTGAATTTTAAGTTACCAAAAATTAAAAAATGTTGTCTTTATTAAATGCTATTTTTTAATGATTATACAGCTAAAACATTTAAGATATTTTAACATAATGTATGTTATTTAAGTATACTGTACCTGTTTTCAAGCTTCCTATTCTACTCGTTACTTCTTCGACCTTAATCAAACAATATAAATAAATATTTAAAAATAATTTTGAATTTTAAAATATATTCCTTACAGGTGGAGATCTAAATTGTTGCCGTTGACCAGATTGGCCTGGCATATTTCTAGGTTGTGGCCGCGATGGTGGTGCCTGTGCTGGTTGAGGTCCTCGTGGTCGACCTAATTGATTAGGAGGAGGTCCTCGTGGTTGTGCTGGTTGAGGTCCTCGTGGTCGACCTAATTGATTAGGAGGAGGTCCTCGTGGTTGTGCTGGTTGAGGTCCTCGTGGTCGACCTAATTGATTAGAAGAAGGTCCTCGTGGTTGTGCTGATTGATTAGGGGGAGGTCCTTGTGTTTGCCCTGATTGATTAAGAGGTCCTTGTGATTGTCCGCGAGCCTTACCTCTGGGACGTCTTGATGGATTAGGATCCATTGGTAATCTTTTAAATTATTTATAAACACATTCAATTTTCATAAAATAAAAATCTAATAAAATTGTGAAGATGGTGAAAGATTCTTGTCTTAATACTTAATAATACATTTAGGTACCTAATATTTAGTAATGTTTGAGAATAACTAGGATTAAAGTTTTGAAATTTGAAGTTCTACATCTGTAATTAAGTCAAGAAAATACTATCAAAATATTTTATTAAAATTCTAAGTCACTACGGTTATTCATTTTTAAATTTCAACGAAAAGACAATGTCGATTTTCTAGAAAATTTTGAAAAGCAAAAAAAATACCTAATCTGACAATTTTTTTTATGAATATTCCATTTTATCGTTATGTTTTTTTTTGAGTATCGAATCCAAAATGAATTGTACTTTTCATTTGTCGATGGCAAAGATAAGGTGTTTGGAGATTATACGTTTATGAATGTCTCTTGGGCCATATCATATTATAATTTACAAGGAAATAAAAATGTATTTTTATTGTTCCTTATGAATCTTATTAAAATAACAAAGTAATTATAAATTTGGGTTCATTTATATTTTTACATTTTCACAAAAAGAGGATGATAGCTCAATATTCGTTTTCTCTCAGACCCACCCTCAACATGGATAAAATGCTTTCACCTAAAATCGTTTTTATAATTTTTGAGTAATCTTTGAGAGTTAAATCGCCTATTACAAGAATTAAAGAGGATAATATTTTTGAGGCATATCGGTTTTATAATTTATTGTTAAGTATTTGAATTTGCATTCGACTTTCAAAATAAAAATAAATTGTTTTGAAACAATGTTTAGACAAATCAATATATCTTAACTTCTAAAATATTATTCTCTATCGTTTCTTTGGTGGCTAATTTTACTCTCAGTTTACTCAAAACATAAAAAAAAATGATTCTGTTTATATGGTCCATGTGTACTACGGAGAAAATTAACTGTGTGCTGACATCCTCTTAACTAACGAAATAGGATATTTTATTGTAAGGTACTCATAGATTTTGCCAAATTTACCAATAGGGGCTCGATATAAGAATTACAACGTGGCAAGGATTCGTCACTTAAAACCATGGTGGTCAACCATCTGGGAGCTAGGACACCAGCTGATGCTTGACCTCAGATATCGTTAGGAACTGCTGTAAACCACCAGGCCACTTTAATTTAGTTCTAAGGTATTTATACGTTATATACTCAAACATTTTTATACTTCATGAATGATCAAACCCATGATCTACCCATTCACTACAATTTGATTATTGCGTCCTCATTTGATTTTATGTCAGAACTCGTTCTATATTTACGAGTGAATATAACATTATTACTCAAATTTTTCTTAAAAACTTTTTTTATTATTTCAAGTCAAAGTAGGTATTCATTTAATAATTAATTTCTCTGCTGATTTCAGTATTTCAGCTATATCGTATATATCTATATATTTTGTGTCCTTGTGCGACCTTAAAAATTGACAACCTATAAAGGTATACTCACAGATTTAACGAATATATATGTACAACTAGATACCCAACTCTGACTTCGTAAGTTGTAATAAACTAATAAAATAACTTAAGTTATGCCAGCTCAATTCAGAAATTAAAATGACAACTAAGGCAACAGGTTTGAATGTTTACAAGACGTTGAAAAATTATTGATAAGAATTTGAGTTGGTAACGCCGAATGGGCATTAACATTAGTAGGGAGATTTGGCATATTTTTTTATTTAGGAGCTATTGAAAATGTATAAATTCCTTGCCCTTGAAAATAGTGGCAATTCGGGGAAACGACAAAAAATTCTCAACTAATATACTAGCTTCGCCGTCTGCCTCGGCTTAATATCTTCCTGTCTGTACAGATCATTTTATAATAATATATAATTAGGCATATAATATGTTTTCATATATAATGCCTAAGATGTTTACAGTGTACAATGTCGGTAAGCCCTATACTATAATTATTCACGGGGCAGGGGCGATTCCAGGGGGCCCTAGGGGCAACCCCCCCCAGGCTAAAACCCGTATTTCTAAAAAATTGTATATTGCTAACAAAAAATTACTAACAAAAAAACATATTATAGTATCGACTATTATAGACCCGCGTAAAAGTATGTAATTATTGGAGGTACGTCGGTGTATGAGTTGTAACATGCATCTACTATCTGTGTGGACTACAAGAATACTAAATAACTTGGTTAAATACTAAGAATAGTGTCTTGATAAGAATTGTATTGTTATTATTCTAAAAATTAATAATAAAAGTTGTAAAAATTGTTGTTTTATATTTGTTGTTTTAAGTTTTGTGAAAATTACAACTATTAGGCCCCCCCGGCCCCCCCCCCCCAAACAAGTCTCTGGAACCGCCCCTGTCACGGGGTCGTGGGCCTGCCAGGGGAGGAGAGAGAAGATGGTAAAAAAGTGGTATTTTGAGGTTATGTTTTAAATTTAAATTACGAGTGAAATACTGTTTTCGTATAGCCGCTCTCACTCTGTTCATGTTTATTTCCGTACGATTTACAGTTAACACTCGTGGTCTAATAAAAAAATTGTATAACCTATACATTTTGGTCATTTATAAAAAAAAAAACCAAATTATTTTTTCCAATATACAAGTGTAGGATAGACTGATCTTATTGTTTCCTATTACGCTTCTCTATTGACGTTTATAATCAGTATATTATACTAAATAAATCAAGGCTTTGCACCCAAATGATTTATTCGGGTTATGGTTTCAGGTGCTTCAAATAAAAATAGAGGTTGTGGTTTCAGGTTTTCTTCATTTTAAAGAATATGGGTTTTGTTTAGCCAGTTTATTTATTCGGGTTATGGGTTATTTAAAATCAAGTAATATATCAATTTTGTTGTGCGTTAAGTGTTAGATTTGATTAAGCTAAGTATAAAGTTATACAATCAACTTTTCAGTACTAATGTCTAATACAGTAGTGACACACGTAATATTATAATTTAATTATTTAAATTGAAATTTAATATAATTTAATTATTTAAATTGAAATTTAATATAATTTAATATTTTATAATATTAAATATTAAATGTTTTACTAGCAAAGTATTAAATAGTTATAAAATAAAATGAAATAAGTTATTGAATCAAATATTAAAATTGTATTTTAAATAAATTATAAATACATTTATAAGTTATTGATTATTCCATATAATCAAAATATAATTAGTTATAACTACTTATAAGTTATAAGGGATATACGAAGATCGGTTGTAATAAACTTTAGGTTTGAAGAAAATATAAATTATACAATTTTAAAATACTTTTAACTACTTTTATTTTACTGTAAAACTTAAAAACAAGTACAATCAACAACTTATGACAGTGACATCTTTATTTATTATAAATACTATTATTTCTTATAATTAGTATATTTTCTAAAATGAACGGAGTTAGGGACATAGGTAGGTTAGGTTAGGCTAAAAACTAAGTTCTCCATGAAATATACATACTAATTCATATGTCACTTGAAAAATAATATTTTTTTTATACAGGTTATGGGTTAAAACCCGAATTTAATTTCGGTTTTAGGTGTTTCGGGTTATACGTCATCAAAATCAATCGGGTTATATGGGTTTACGGTTTTGATAATTTTTAGGGGTTTTTTTAAGGGTTTTGGTTATATGGGCTAAACGGGTGCAAAGCCTTGAAATAAATAGATTTTGGATAAAAAAAATACGGGAAAACACAATAAATATCTGCTTAATATTACAAAATACTATAACATTTCGTAACCACCACTTAAAGCCAAAAAGTTACCACCTAAATTCTGAAAAGAAAAAAAATCTGTTGGCACATTCCTTACACATTAATATAGATACTAAATATTTTAATCGAAAAAGGTTTCCGATCTGATTTAAGCAGAATTGTAGATAGTACTATAATAGTATCATCATTACTATCTACAACTATGGATTTCAGAAAGCAAATTAATATTACTTGTTATTCTATTTATCACTAAATATATATATTTTTGTTTTAAAAATGTGTTATAACTTAACTCTTTGGTATTTTAAGTATTTATGAAGGTACAAATTTTTAAATTATATAATTTCAATTTTGTTTCTGGTATTTTTATGTATACGTAGGAACCATAGTATTAGAATAGTTTAGGTTTATAACTCACCGTGTCTTATAATACCTACTAATAATATTCTGTGTTAGTTTAAAATACATTTATGGATCCTTGTGTATACAAATAATATATATTTATACACTCACCTAAACCTATAGCTATAACCATTTAAAGAGTAAAACAAAGTTAGTTATACTCCTTAAAATTATTATATGCAGAATAATTTGTAGTTTTGTTTAGGTTTAAATAATTTTTTAGAGTTTTTTTAAAGCTGTAAGACTTTAAATCTAGTTATTAGTAATTATTAGCAATTAAATGAGTGATTTTTACCAATGTGTGGCAACAGCGGTTACCTCCGAATTATTTGAAACAAGGCGCAAGTCTTATTTTTATTTATTTTCTAATCATAATATAATAACCGTGTAATATATTTAAGCATCTAATGTAATTATTATACACAACATCATAACTCTACCGAATGCCAGTACATTTGATAAAATTTAACTAAGTATAAATATGACACGTTTATATTATATCGACTATTATAATGGATAGATATTTTACTTGCATTTATTTGTTAAATGAGTAATGCAAGTACTATATATGATAATAATAATTACAAAATAATAAGAATAATAATAGTGACCTCGATGCACAGATGGTATATATTTCATAACCAAATTTTACTTTTTTACTTTCCAGTTTATCATCTAGCGCAAATAATAAATCATAACTATAACCAATAATGGTCCATAAGTAATTGTTTACGTAATATTGCAACATAGTAAAAACAAATAAGCATGTTTAGGCAATTAATTAAATAAATATTAATAATAATAATAATAAATAATAAATAATAATACACAGATTACAGACTATTCAAAAACCAAACATACATAAAATATTATGTTTTAATGTGTTGAGAATTGTGGAGCGTGGCGCTGACGTTTCGTCGAGATTCATTCCACACGCGCATTTAGGCGGCATAATTCACGTGTGTTTTATTACATATTATTATTATAACTATTATCATTTTTTAGTATTATCTGTCAATATAATATTATATCTTCTTACCTTGTTCGTTTGATGTAGGTTTAAAAACAATAATTTTTATTTTTTTTGTTTGACTAGTAACGATATGTAATTACTAATAAAGCGAAAGCGCGCCTATTATTTAAAAAACGCGTTATATAATATATTATACTAATATTACGTCTATATTAACAGCCCGAATATCAGTAAAAATACAATTTATACACACTGCACACTATAAAAACACATTCATATTAATATTAAAATGTTAAGACATTTGTATTCTGGACTGTGTCAAGGCTAACAGTGCAATGACAGGCTCTCAGTTCACCATGTCCTGCGATGGCTGGAAAATGAAACACCAAACACTTTTGGACGTGTGTGCTAGGGAAGAGAAGGAGTTGGTAGAATTGGTGGCATTGTGGGAGGAGTAGAGAGCAGGTGAGTGGAAGACGAGATACATAGTGTTCATTGTAAAATACATAAAAGGTCAGATGTTAGCCAGTGGGAGGTGGAATCGCTGGCTAACATATCCCAATTCCACTTGCTATGCCCTGAGCGATAATTCCCGGAAGGTGTGGTACTGTAGCGATTGCAATTTGTTCTGCCTGTTTGAAGGGGTGCGTGTAAATTCCGCCCGAAAAAATGTATTACTGTTAATAAACAAATTTCTGAATGTGTCTTATTAATCATATTATTACTGACATAACATAGATTAAACATTATAATTTAGAAGTGGGTATTTAAATAAATATATATTTCACATATTAAGTCAATAATTACAACATAAATCATGTATAATCGTAAGAATACTAATAATTATAAAAGTAAATATAACAATCATAATATTATAGTTAAATTAAATCATAATCAATAATTAGCACATATTATTATAAGTCGTGTATATTGTATAGAGTATAGCATATAAAATTGTTAAAAATTGTTAAAATAGTGATAATTATAATAATAAATACGAGTCAAAATATCACTTCCATACTATTTATTTTTTGTTCATGTTCGAACATTTTGTGACTTCCCAATACTATAAGTTACAACACGCTCCGCGTCACGAAAAGTACGGTCGCGAAACGCTTAGTTTAAAAATATTTATTTTTCCGGACAGAACTATTTTTGTACCTGTATATTTTTTCGGGCAGAATTTACATGTACCTTTTTTACTTGGCTATTTTTCTGGGCGGAATTTACCATAGACCTTGTTTTTACCTGTTCATTTCGGGCGGAATTTACAATCTCCCGTTTGAAGATACAAATGCATTCCTTCGGGTAGGTCGTATGTGCAATATAGGTATACTGTGGCATTATCCTCAATAACGAAAAATCGTAGCTCCACAAAACGTTGTTAAATAGAAATTATTACTTTAGTAATAGTAATAAGTATTTCGACCTATTAATTTTTTTCTCAAAATCAACACACTTAAAATATTTTATAGGTACAGTGTACAAACAGTACAACGGTGTGTCTCTGCAATTTAACAGCCTACAGCCCGAGTTTCGTTCGCCGCAGCAGTTCTCGAAATGCGCTATTCAATATTATAATAATATTGAATTGTGGCCCGGGGATCGGCATAAAAGTCATCCAAATTTGGGTATTCCTCAGTAGATGGTTAATTCGTTTTCCAGTGGTTTTTAATTCATGTTTTGCCTATTCTTGACTCTTTACGTTTTGTGTTAGTACTTAGTACCATAATACCTAAACGCGTATTGAATGTAACTACTATTGAATTACCTATAATGTATATACATTTTTTTTTTAATCTGTCGATGAGTGTTGAATATGTGCATATTTTATTATTATTTTAATTAAATAACTTCATACGTAAATGCACCGGGTTTGCACCATACTCTCGCGATTAAAGTTTTATACCAAGTAATTATAATTAATTAAGAACTGTAGTAGGATGAAACGATGTACAACTATCCTGAATAATATTTTAATATTATATATTTTAATGTATCCATGAAGACATGAAGTAAATTAGTACATTTGTTATACACTTGTTTTCGTAAATATGAATAGCTTGGATTCACAATGTAAGAAGAAATATCCCGATTAATATTGGGTAGGTTATTTGAAAAGCCAATTAATATTATTTTATACTTCGATAAAAACATTTCAAATAACAGATTTATGTTGTTATTTTTGGTAAGACTTTGAACTGTATACGTATACTTCCGTTTATCTGGAAATAATCATATTAACCATGCTTCTAATATTTTTTTTATTCTATAATAATTAAAAAAAAATTAAGCCTGTAATATAATATTATTCCTGAGGCCACCTATATTATATTATAATATATTTTAAAAATCTCGTATATCGCATTCTTAATTAAAACATGTTGTATTAAATTATGAAAATATACTAATAAATACCTGCTACGATTACAATCTGTCCGTAGGCCTCAAATAAAGATAAGACGGGCTGTGAGTTGAAAACCTCTACATCAGAGGTTCTTAATATAATAAATACTAGATCCAATATTAAATTTATTTTATATTTTTGTAAAACCATTTTTAAGGACTATTATCCTTGATATAAATATTTTAAAACCCGAAAAACCACTCGTTTGAATTTTTGATCGGGATTTCAAAATTTAAAACAACAACTAATTTACAATAAAAAATATGGTTTCTATTTGAAATCCCGAAGTTTGTTCTATGCACTCCAAGTATACAAAATATTTCAAGAATTTGAAAAATATGGTCTTTGGATAACTTTAAAAATTCCAAAAATCGAAATTTGAATAAATGGAGAGGGGGACGAGCAGCAGAGCAGGAGAGGTGAATCATCCTGTATAGTATAGCAAATAGTTGTTACTCAATTTCATATTTAAATAGAATAGCTTTACATCCTTTATTATAGCCTAGTGACAAAATATCATTCAACACAAAAAATTATATCCAATTATAACTATATTATAACTACGCCGTATTTCCGGCACCTCTACGGCAAAAAACCTCACGTGTTCAATAGACCTAAAGACTATTTTTCACTCGTTGTTTCCTATCGGCTCTCGGTAAAAGAGGCACTATTAAAAGGAATTAAAAATAATCGGTTTCACATATCTAATGACACCTGCACATACGTATAATCTTCGAGTAAAAATACTTGGTGAATGTACGCTATTACAAAGTGTGTTTTAACTATCGGCATAGATATCTCCATTCCTGATATCAAAATTAAAGGTCATTGCTCCCGGGCAATATAGCTATTTTATGGCATATTGTAATCGGATGATAAATTTGTCGATGAAGATTATACGTTTAGAGTTTTTAAACAATTTAGGCTGGTACGGTTAATCTCGGTGGAAGACATAAGCTCCAAAATAAGATAAGAAAAAAAGTCGTATCGTACAAAAGCGCCAGAAATAACAGATATTAAATTTAGAACTATTGATTAGAAAAATAATGAATAAATAAATTATTGAAAAGTGGGATTAAAAAATCAACCAATTTATTAAATGTATTAAATATTGATGTGCATGTACCTACCTATATTATAATTTACAATCAACATAATAATATTAATATAATATAATTTTTATAAGATATAGAAATTTTTAAATAACTACCCACTTAATACTTATATAAAATATTAATTTTGGCGCAAATGATAGGTCATTTTTGTTCCTTCGGCGCTTATATCATATGTTGGGTATAGCAGGTATACAATATTAGATTGGCGCTTATGTCCTACAGATTTTGGCAATCACAATGGAGCAATCACAATGGAACACACCACTTATAACGAAAAACAACAAAAATATTTTAATAACTAAGAAACTACTCATTCGAATTTTTAATGTGGTGCATCAAAATGTTTAAACACTGATTAATTTACAGTTAAAAAGGGGGTTCGAAAAGGATTTTGAAAATTGAAGTTTGTAATTTTGTATCACCATAACACACTTTCTTAAGTAGTACAAAAAAACTTCAAGAATTTGAAAATATTCCTAGTCTTTGAGTATATTTAAAAATTCCAAAAATGACGTGCATGATTGGTGAATTACCCTGTAGATATGTAATGGGTAAGTTTTAATAACGGGTATTGTTTATACATACAAACAGGGTAATTTAAGAAATAAACATAATACAAATAATATTTTTACCTTATCTAATAGATGTATGGATAATTTTTAAATGTTTGTAAATTTGTAGGTGATGTGTAATTTTTGTAATTTTTAAATCATGCCGGTATAACATATAAATATTATAATTAATAAAAAATAGAATATTTTTATAAATAGTGTTAATAATTAACATATTATGTACAATTATGATTTATAATTTATATGATTAACGGATACTTTTTTTCAGGGGATGTTTTTTTTTCACTTACCACTATAATTAATACTATTAATGTACGTATTAAGTCGCCCAAAAATAGTCATCTATATTAGTTCATACATTTGAACTGATATCCAATGGCAGGCAGCGCCAGAACTTTTGCACTAGGCCAGGTCAAGGTCAACATTTTTACTCGAAGTGTATGAACATGTGATTACAATCAGAATTACACCCAATATTAAGATAACTATTAATTATTGTTACATAACTTAGAATATTTTGAGTAGAAGTAAATATTATATTTTATTACACCAATCAAAATATATAACAAACTCAAAGTGTAAGAAATCCCTTTTTTAATTAAACAAAAGAAATACAATATTTAAAAATTTGGTAAGTGAGTAACGCCGTAAGTGTATAGAATCTTGTTTTAAATTGTCAATCCATATAAATATTGAACATTTTATAAATTGTTAACTTTAAAATAATTTGTAAATTTTCAATTTGATACATTCTGCCAAAGTTGTAACTTTAAATGCCTATAAAAAAGTCTTGTCTACTTATTTTTAATATTTTTAAGCAGATATTGTAACAATGTGTGAGGAGCCTTTGTAGTATACATTTTCAAGTTCTTCGACACAAAGAATACAATTTTATTGACATTGGTCCGTGTCCACTTTTGCTCACCCTTATTGCCGCCACTGCTGATATGTTAATATATTTTTACTCTATAAGTATACTAAAATAAATCATCAGAAAAAACATCAAGTGTTAAGATTATTATTTTCATAATTGCCAAAATGCTAAAAATCTATTTTGATATTAACGAGTGTATTGACTTTTGGGTGCGATTTGATGCACACATTTGTGATTGTGTGAAATAAGCACAAAGAATAATCAGCGTATATACACAGTACGAGAATAATCTTATCGTCTCTCTTCTAGTTTATAGTGAACATAGATAATATAAGTATTTATCATATAATTCTTATATTATCTTTGATAGTTAATTTATATATGTGTACGATAGAAGATAGATCAAAGAACAACATTAATTTTATATTTATTATTTATATATATTATGCTACTCTAATATCGTAAGTTGTAGGGTATGCGACTAATGTTTAGGTATTAATATATTTTTTTAAGAATGATGAAAAAATGTCTTGATGTTAAAAAATATACAATAATATATAATAAATAATATATTTCGTCTATTTTTGTACGTTCTACAAACTAATATCCGATGTACTAATATTACCCAACAATGAAGATTGAAGATAACGGTTCAGATACAACTAATTGCCCATAATTTGCGCAAAAATAATTCTTCAATATGGTGTCATTAACCTAAAGGGTAATCGGTCAAAAAGTCCGAAAATATAAACATTTTTATTTATAATTATATAATTTATTATATAGGTATATGCTATAACTATACATTATATATAATTAATATTAATTTAAAAAATGTAATTAATTTTAATATTCTAATAATTAATTATATCAATGACATTTTGTTGGATTCCGTCAATGATTAAGTACTTACAGCAATTAATTTTAAGACATACATTTATTTTAAACTGTAAGACCTCTATTACATTACTATGTTGTTTGTTAACTTTAAAAAAGTTAGGTTTTCAAACATAATAGTTCTAAATTCAAATTTAAAAAAAAGAAACATCGATCACTACAGCTATAATAATATAATTATAGATGAAAATGTAATACAATATTTTGTATTTTCGGACTTTTAGTCTTACAATAAAAATATGCTTGATCTTTCTGTCCAACAATACAAAATGTATCCATTATTTTTGTTGTCCAACTTAATTCAAATGAACTTTTTGTCCCTAAACTTTTCGTCCGGGATTAAACATTAAGTATATGGTTCTATTCGTCCACTAATAATTGTTTAATTTTGCTAAACACCGATAAGTCATATACTATCATATTATTATGTGTATATTTGTAAGCTTTAATAAAAACAATAGAATTAATGATAATTATTCAATTTCTGGATTAGATTTTGATTTAATAACTAATTTTAATGATCTAGGTTTATTGTTTGGCTCAAAATTAAGAAGTTTTTGATTATTGATTAATTGATTAATGATTACTGTAATTATTTTTTAGTTATTGTGTCTGCTTTGCTCCTTGAATCAGTGAAATCTTAAAGTTTGATTCTTTAAATTATCCCCATTTTCCACCTTCTCGCATACATCCTTAATCCCCCATATACAGGCATGTATTTTAGGGGGCAGTGTACTCTGTGGCCTGGGGTGCCAATTTTTTTAGTCCATTTAGGAGGTAAATTTATATTGAGATTTTATTATGTATTAATTGTATCAAAAAAAAAATATATATTTATATCATGTATTTTAACTATTGTATTATGACTTTCTGTTAAAAGCAATTATTACTGCTCAATAATGTTTATTGTTTTCACCAATTAGTTAGAAAATAATGTTAATTATTACAAAAAATATTTATTGTCAACTTTGCACCAAGGCACTTGTTGCATTATTGACAATTGAACCAGAAATTAAGATAGAAGGCAAAGTAGATTTTGAATAAATTATCACTTTATATTCTAAACTCTTATCTAAAATAATAAATACTACAATTTTTTTCAGTTTCAATTTTATTTTTATAAGTATAGCCAAGCATATAACCATAACTACTCGATTCTTTCTATATAATATGATGTTATGGACGTCTCCACAACCGAGTTTGTTCGTTAGTAATAACTAATAAATACGATGTGTTTTAGTTATCACTAATACTTAATTAATATAATTAATTTTAAAAGAAATTTAGTTGCACATAATAATTATTAGACTTAAGAAAATAACAGAGGCTCTGCCGATGGTCTGCCAGTACTACACAATATTACACAGACAGCGAGACACGGTAGGCGCTCGCTCGGGCTCAAAACTGTCCACACAGCGAATTCCCTAAGACCGTGTGCCTCTGCCTGTTCACGTATTAATATGCGTATACACTATACTTATTATACTATTACTATATCTTATACTGCGTATAACATACAGACAGGGGTTTACAACAATGATGTTCGATGCACTATCAGTGCTCAAATTGGTGGGCCGAAGCGGGGGGACTGAGTACTTCAACTGTTTTTAAAACATTTAGAGTATCTTTACTATTTTTTTCGTTGCAACGAGGTATCAAAAGAGACAAGGACACTAATTTTGTATAAGTTAACACAGAGTACCTCTTCTTAAATTTTCCTGATTCTTGCACTGATGTACTTACATTCAATTTTTTTCCAATTAGAAAAAAAACATTAGATGCTTAGTGTTTATAATAGAAATTGTAGTGTAAATTTTTGTTTAAATATTTTTGCTTGCATGATTATGCAGACTACATAAACTATAATAAATTAAATATACTTCCAGAAGTTCGATTGGTGTCTCGAAAAAATGGCTGAAAATATTCCGTTTTTAGACTAGGTTTTTTAGGAATCACTTTTCTTTTTAAAATCCAGAATTTGTCAAAATAAATAAAAATGTAATGCAATTATTTCACAGAATTTTAAGAATAATATATTATTTCTAAGGTTCTTTAAAATTGAAAATTGAACTATATAACCTAGATATTTTGTCAAAAAATTCATATATACATCATAAATCAAAATTGGACATTACGAAGTATTATAGACAATGGTAGAATTAACCACTGCTTAATGGTCTAAGAAGTAAGATGAAAACGTGTACTGTAATTTCCTAAGAACCATAGAAGACAATAATAATTGTTGAACACATTTTTATTTATTTTGTAAATGTATTTTGAATAACAATGCATTTTAAAATTCACTAATTTAAATTTACGACTCATTAGAATTAAAATATTTTTGTAAAGTTGGTTATTACAATAGAACCGAACGGTCAGAAAAACGAAAATAACTGTATAATAAATTTACATATAGGTATATTATTAATTGGTTATTAAATAATAATTAATAGAAACGAGAGTACCTATGGGGAGCGCTGTAGCCTAGGGCCCCGACATAATTTGGGGCCCCTGTGGCCATGTATTACTGTAATATAGCCATATACGTTTTTTTATACCAATCAACATTAAATAATTACTTATAGACGTATGATATAATTTATTTATAATCTTAAAAATGAATTGAAAAACGAAAAGCTTGGATAGAAGTGTTCGGTTTGATAAAACCAGGATTTGAACATCTTCAATTTAAGGACCAAAAATTGATAGATATATATAGAATACACTATTAAATCCGTTTTAATATCAAAATAATATAAATAAATATGTTATCCTTTCTTGTATATTTTGTCTATATCAATTATTGAAATTATTATGAATGTATTGATTTTACAATTTATTATTATGTGTGTGGTTAATTTAATTATTAATTTTTTTCTTGTGTCCGTGTGTACGTTTACTAGTCAAAATAATGTTTATAAATCTTAAACTTTGAGAGTGGTTTCTTGGTTTTCACATAAGCTGGTCTTATAAAAATACATAACCATAATTTCTTTTATGAGGCTTTAAAGTTCAAATATTTCCGAAATTGCGAAAAATTGCAAGTTATTTTGTTGTTGAAAATTCATAAAAATTTGGTTTTCAAATTGTTATGATGTATTATTTTTAACTTAGTTTATTATAACTTATTAAGTATAAAGAAACATCATATATTATAGGTTCATTAGTGTCCCTAATGCAGTAATGTATTACAGTATTACAAATATTATTGTTTAAAATTATAATCTGATGATATTTTGGAATTTATTATTTACAATATTATATCATAGTTCTGTATTTGGTCCTACTCATCTTGTTGCCATGGAACTGGAGTGAAATTGTAAAATATATATACAAATAGTAGGTAATAATAATTGGTTTTAAGTAGATGCTGTTTTAATCATTTTTTCTTGTTCACTGCATAAAATGTTTCTTATTGCTCAGTTCACACTGTATAGTAAAAAACTTGGTTTACAATTTTACATGCCAATATTCCATTAATAGTAGTTTTACTATAATTTACATGGATATTTAAAATAAGTACCTATATTTGTACGTTAGGTATGCACTTTAATCATAGAGCTTATACTTGGCATACTTCCTAGTTCCTACTTACTGACTACTTACTACGTTAGACTTTAGTAATTAGTATATGGTCAGAGGTCTAAGGACTATGGCTTTTATAATTAATACATCATTTCGAAATTCGGAATAACCTCTCGTACACATTGGTAAATCGTTTAACTACATCAATTTCCGCTTGAGCGCGCCAGTTGTACTTCTCGCTGGCCGTTATCGAGGATAAACACTAGACAACAAAAATATTGCTTTTTTGATTAACCTGCACGATTTAAGATAGTATCTGGTAATAAGTGATAACGTCGTAACGCTCCGACGAGTGACAAATTCCGTTCTTCACTTTTCCGAGACTCCCGAGATTCAAGACTCCAAACTTGGTGGCCATTGGGGACACTGATCGTTAACCCAAACCGTTGACTTCCAAACGCAATAACTATTGACTTTGAACACGAAAGAAGAAGCGTTCGACGGACTTCGTAACTCGTAAGCAAAGTTTTTCATTTAAGCGTAGAATACCTACCTCCAGCTACTGCAACACGCCCTAAATCCCATTGTTCGGTATTTATTATTAATAATTAAGAAGACGCCACACCCGCATTCAGGTTTGAAATAATGCATTTTTAAACACTAAAAACTTTTCTTGTATTTGTGATATCGAAAAAATAAAACGGTGTTGCACAGTAAATGTTCTCTTGTTTATAGTGTGAAAAATTGGTTCTTCAGCTTTGTCTACAGCTTGAGTAGTTCTATTTCACGCAAAACCGCTTTTGCTATGTTGTATGTTTGTAAGACGATGACAACATATGCGGGTGTGGCGTCCTCTTAACGGCGGTAAGGAAATTCTGCTGTGATAAACATCTTTTTCTTTCTGCACCCATGCATTTTAATTCCCAAATTCACTATCGTTTTAATTCTGGGGGGGGGGGGCATCAAACGACAGGTTTAGACTGTATAGCTGTACTTTTGGCAGATATGCACTAGTTGCTGGCCAGTGTTGGTTTTTTCACTTTTTACTTTTTTACTTTTGTCTTAGTGCACACTTCAAAACGCATTGGTCATACTTTGTTTGGTATAAGTTGTATGTTCAATGCTAACCCATCAGTTACAAAGTTTTCACCCTTGTCTAAAATGTAATTAGCATTTATTTTTTGAGTGTTATTGAAAATGATTCACTTTGATACTGTGATTTTACTGAACAATCTTATGGATATTGATTATGATATCTTTTATTTTCAAGATATGTTTATACTATTATATCTCATGTAATACATTTAAAATTTGCTTCTATTAGGATATGTAGTTATTAATTTACACAATAAATATATTATATTATGCCTACTTATCCATTCAAATTGTAATTGTATTGTTGCAGTTATTTGTATTATTAAAATTAATGACGATAAATAGCTTTTTTTGCTTCCAAACAATTTTGCCTACTTGTTTTAACTAAAGTCAAAACCTTAAATTTTGGTCCATATATTTGTAAATGTTTATAAGTTTTCAATTATTCACATGATATATTTTATAATTATTGTAAGACTGCTATTACTTTGTAATATACTTCCAGTTAATTGTATGAAATTGTTACATAAGTTACATAATTTTAATTGATCAAATAGGTAACCTGTAGTAGTTACCTTTTAGTTCTATAAGTGTGTTTCAGTAGAAAGCCAGAAAGTGAAATTATTGTTTTCAATATATTATTGAAATTACATTAGGATCCTAACTAGCGATTGCTGCTTCAAATAATTGTATTAAAATTAATTAATGTTTTTTTTTTAGATTATTGTGATTGTTAACAAAAAAAAAAAAAACAATGACCCTTTTAAAAACATTTTGGACACCTATTGTTGTGTATCCGGACGTGAAAACTGGTTGTAAATTTGTAGCAGCATATACAATTGTAAGTTTATACATTTATTATTGTATTTTTCCAGTATATTAATATTCATTTTATTATTTTTAGGCAATATCAATTTTTTTGATGGCACTTCTTGTTCATATGCAAAATGGAGGCGAATCAACACAAATGTATAATCCATTTTTTGAAGCTAATTTACGTGGTAAGTAATCTAAACGAATACTGTAGGTAATAGTATCAGGTATCTAATGTAAACTAATGTAATTTTCAATATTTTACTTTATGTTTTTAAAAGTCCATGGATTTTTTTACTGAATGTTTTGTCTCTAAGAGTTACGATAGTCAAGAATATGCTTTGTGTATACATTCTAAAGAGATGGTTAACTGCGACAAAATTAATCTTTTTCCAAATGGTTCATGTGGCAGTGTGACTAAACTAAAAACATATACTATTTACTGCAATAGCTAAAAAATTGATAAGATAAATCATATATCAAGTTTCAAATACTTAATGTATTAAACATTTTCAAATTATCAATGTTTTTTAGTTATAATAATATATTGTTGACGTATAAATAAGGCGTATATTTAAAATGCTCAAATATTTATATTTTAATTATTTTTCCTATTTTTTTTTTGTCTGAAGTATACTGCTTGAATACATTCATATCTTGATTTTAATTTTACACTTAACTGCTTAGGCTGCTCATATTAATAAACTTATGTCTTAATTTTTGTTTGCTGTCTTATAGAACCTTATTTACACATCCAATGTTTATAGTTTCATGTAAGTATCCATAAACTTCAACATATTTTAGAGCAACAATCATTTATTTTGTACTGTAATTTTTAGCTCCAATTCCCATTTTTTATGTTCTACCACACATACCTACTGCAAGACTTATAATAATAATAAGTGCATTTTACTTAGTCACTTTCATCACTTTACATTTTGTTGTAGTTTGTACTATGTATCTCATCGATTGTATCACAATTTTTATTATATATATCTTTAGTTTGGTCGCAGTTAACTTAGACCATTTGGAATAGATTAATTTTGTCACAATTTACATACATCCAAAATAATTTATTACATTATAATTTAGTTAGTATAAAAAAATCTTCAAATACATAGTACCCTCTACCTAATTTATAATCTAGTTGTTATGTTTAGTTATGTATTATGTCTAGTAAATTTGGTATATAAACTAAGGAACTTGTTGCATAATACATCAATGAACTTGATTCTTGTGGAATAACAGCTCTGATTGTACTGAGGTTTTCTCTTGGTTGTGCTATGGGGTGTTGGGAGGATGTTTATTGTACAAAGTCCGTCAGAACAAACGCATGTTTTTCGAAATAATACTACGCTAAAAGTAATTTCTGTAAAATAATTTTTATTTCATCAAAAAATGTAGAAACATATGCAATTTTTTTTTACTGTAACAAAATTTAGGTTTTAAAAATAATGTCAGTCATATGGCGTCCTTGAGCCGCAATGCAGGAATGCAGGAATGCAGGCGCTCCCCAAACGAGTCCATCGCGTCGGTCAACATCTGTCTCGGAACTTCACCCACAACTCGTGTGATCTCGTCCTTCAATTCATCTAGGGTTTGTGGCTTGTATTGATAGACTTTTGATTTTAAGTGACCCCACAAAAAAAATCACACAATGACAAGTCAGGGGAGCGAGGGGGCCACAGAATGTCACCAAAGAGACATCGAAATGCTGACCCAATTTTTTTTCCTGAGCTTCAACGATGACGTGTCAGTATAAGAAAAGTGTGGTTTCAATAAGACGGGGCAACATCACACACAGCTCGTGCCTCAATGGAGGTTCTTTGTCAAAAATTCCCTGGACGTCTCATTTCACGCTTTGGTGACGTTCCGTGGCCCCCTCGCTCCCCTGACTTGTCATTGTGTGATTTTTTTTTGTGGGGTCACTTAAAATCAAAAGTCTATCAATACAAGCCACAAACCCTAGATGAATTGAAGGACGAGATCACACGAGTTGTGGGTGAAGTTCCGAGACAGATGTTGACCGACGCGATGGACTCGTTTGGGGAGCGCCTGCATTCCTGCATTCCTGCATTGCGGCTCAAGGACGCCATATGACTGACATTATTTTTAAAACCTAAATTTTGTTACAGTAAAAAAAAATTGCATATGTTTCTACATTTTTTGATGAAATAAAAATTATTTTACAGAAATTACTTTTAGCGTAGTATTATTTCGAAAAACATGCGTTTGTTCTGACGGACCCTGTATATTTTCCCATACTAGGTTCCTTTTCTTGAGTTTTAGAATCTTGAATCTATTACATAATTAATTATTTTACTTTTTGTTTAGAACTTAACTATTATGTGGTGTACACTTTGATATTTTTCGCCTATATGGTGGGTTCATCTCTATTATTGCTGAAGGGTTTGAACAACAATCTCCGAGGATTTCTATTACCATGGTTTATTGGTATGGGATTTGTTGTAATTTTTTTGCTGGTTTGGTCTATTTGGCTGCTTTATGGATACTATATTTATGTAAGTAATTTTTATAATATTATTCTTTTAACATTGTTTTTCTTGATTAATAATTATATGTTTTTTTTTGACACAATACTGTTGAATTTCAAGCATATTGATTTTTGAAGAGGCACTGCTATTGCTTATATACATAAAATCATGATATTAGGTGGAGATAAAATTTTAAAATCATTTACTATCTAGTTTGTTTCCAACTATATCATTAGTAAAGTGATAAACCAAATTTATCTTTATTTTTAATTTTTAAATTTGTTTAGAAATAAAAATAAAAATTATAACAATTAACAATTTAAATTTAATTTTGGAGGTAGGTTAGGAGTATTTGGAATATATAAAAATCAACATTCAGATGAGTAGTTAATTAGTTAAGCATTTAATTAAAGTTTAGATAAGCAAAGTAGTGGAACAACATTTTGCTAGTACTCCTGTTTGGTTATGCTGATTGATCTCACTCTGTTTATCAAAAATTAAAGTACTATTGCAATAACTACATACACCTCAACAATTTTTTTTATGTATCTAAGTACTCCAAAAAATATTCTGCTTTGGAATAAGGAATTAAAAATGTATGTTGTCATTAAATAAAGTAAAAACTTACAACAATACATATAAAAAATAGTAAAATATTTGTATTAACGTTTATAGTTTTTGATAGGTATAATGTGTGCTTTTATAAAATAATTGCACAGTATTTTATAAAATGTCTACATTACATAAAAAAAACATGTATTTTATTTAAGTCCATGGCCCTAATTGTAGCAGTATTAATAATCATATTTAAATAAATGAATATTATGCTTCTTAATAATTTTACAATTTATATTACATATGTCAAAATTGATATTGTTTTTTTAGATTCACATAGTATGTGCTGCTGTAATTTATTGGATCGTGGCTGCTATGCAAGTATGTTTGCCAAAACTAAATAAAATTCCAATACATAAATTGCATAAAATAATCCGTTCATTAAATATTCTAATGTATTTTATTTTTAGTTTTATTGCTGGTTATGTGTTTACACCCAATACAGAGTGATCAACGAAATGCAATCTCCAAATATTGAGCTCCTCATATTTTAATAGGTCATGGTGTACGTGCACATTTTATTAACATTCTTATAAAGGAAATTTTTGTATTATGACTATAAAAAAATATTATTTTTTTTTTACACAAATCTAGTTTATTGATAGTTTTGTTTGCTACCTAAACACCATTTTGTTAAGACTGCCATTAATATATAAGAATTTTTGGGGCAAGGGCAGTTATCTAATTTCATATGGAAATAACTGTTTTAAGAAATGTTATATGAAATTTGATAACTGCCATTCCCCTAGTAAAATACATCTAATTTGATCAATATTGTAATCCGTCCATATTTATTTTTTATTCAAACTGTGCCTTAAATAAAAATATAAAATTAATATTATATATTTTAAGTTAATATTAATAATTTTTTTATTACATAAAAATAAATTTACTTAAATTTTTAGTATTTTTGATAATAAACTATTTATATATAATTTATTTAATTGTTATTATTAAAAAAAATTTTGGGTGTTATATCACAACTTACAAGTGATAAATAATTAAACTCCTATAATTTTTCCAAATGGGCATTTCCCACACACCACTACAGCATGCACATCACAGAAAAAAACTGGTTACTAGCTATTGCATTCTTTTTTTAACGGATCATAGAACACAGAGATAGGGTTGTTTAATTTATGATAATATGAATAAAGTATGATTAATGAAAGCACAGATATTTATATTGACATAGTTGATGGTTGGTAGTGATTTTGCTACTGGAACTAACTGGATAACCCACCTTCTGTAGTTCCATCTTGCAACCAGTGTAGATGAAAAATTATTTTCTAACGATACTATACAGATTTATAATTTATTGTGATATACCCATAATGATGGTTGATTTTTTCTATGTGATGAAATTTACAATTTGTTTTATTAATAAAAATTTTTATTTTATATTTAAATAAACAATTTTAAAATGTATATTAATACAAGATAGAAAAAATCATAGAATTTTTATAATATAAGAAGTGTAGAGATTTTCTTAATTTGATTAATATCTACTCCACGACCACCTACTTACAAATTACAATAGTGAATACTGACTGCCATGTTGTGTAGTTGTAAACATAATTTGTTGATACTTTTTAAATATTGCTTAACAAATTTTATTTTATTTGTACCTATTACCTATTATATTCAGAAATATGCAGTTTTATGTGTAGTTCTTAGTATTTTACATATTTCCCACATTTAAAACTACCTTTTTAATTTTTGTTATTTTCAAATCTATTGATGACCTCAGATGTTGCCATTATCATCTATTAAATAATTAAATCCAACACTAAGTAATTACTTTATAATAAAAATATAAATTTTGTATAAGGTGTAAGCTAAAGCTTATGCCAAATTGCCAACATCTTGCTTAGCTTGTGTACCTGGTACTGAAAATGTTTTAGGTGTTTACTTATTTTACCTAAGTAATTTGGATTTATATGCAATACTCTATAAATATAGTTTTGATTAAAATTAAGATAATAATTTATATTAATTTACTATAACACAGATAAAGTAGTCAATGTTATCAATACAAATAATACTATTGATATTGCTGTAGATTCAGTTGGTGGGTATTGAGACAAACTGTTGGATCCAGGAGTCAAATGCATAGATTATATTTATATAGATGTCCCTTTGTGATTCTTAATGAAAAAAAGAATAATAATTATAAATGTATGGATTTATATTTTATACCTACATTTTTTTGCAAACAATTAAATTGAATTAACCATAAAAGTATGTTATATCTTATATAGCATAGGAAGTGGAACAGTATTTTGTATTTAAATATTTTATTTTATATTAATAAAATATAATCAGAGATCAGTTGTGGGATGACCAAAAAAAATTGATCGTCCTTAAATACCAGTTTTTTTCTTATTTTTTTTTTGAAAAGTAGTAACTAGACATCTTTTACATTTATTAATTTATTCAAACATATTATCTACTATGGCTACCTGTTATGTATTTTAAATTACCTTTGCTACACCTAAAAAATATCTAGGGACACCCATGGTTAATGTAATCACATATGTTCAATATCCTATTACTTTTTTAATCTGTGGTTTCAAATTGTATTTAATTTATTTTGTTGATGTTGATGTACATAATATTAGTTAATTTGTTAAAGTTATCATATTATTGTTATTATTGTTTCTTTTTGTTTATTACTTTATTATAATAGTCGGTGATTTTTTAACAATAAAAAATACCATTGGCACAGTGATTTGTAAAAATAAATAACACAAACGTGGAGTACAACGGGTAACAGTTAGGCCTTAGGCACCTACAAATAAGTATGCAATCTATTTTGTTAATTTTCATTCTCGAAGGGACACAAGTCTCGCCAGCTAGTAGGTCAAAACCATTTACTAATATTATATATTATTTAATGGGACAATATTATATTCGATCTCCACAATAATATAATTGACCAAAACATTACAGCAAGCAGCACATACAATGTGTATAAAATTATTAATTATAAATTTATGTATTTTTCTCTCCTTGTCGTCCATGCGTTCTAGGCACTTCTCATATCAAATTTCTGGTTAAAATCCAGGAAGATCATTTGTGCTTCGTTAGCATAGGTCAATGATTGTTACTCTTCGTTAATATTTCATCCCTTAAAAAGTTGTTCACTTTTCTTATAAGGGGATGCTGAAGACATGTAGGCAATATAACCTTATAGGTAAGTATGCCTTTATTATTATTATATATTCTCATGTCTTATTGTAATACTAATAATTATTAATCTGTAAAGTATAAATGTGTACAACTTAAGTGATCTTAAGAGGAACAAATCACAATTTGTGGGACTGCCATTTTACAAATTCTGGTTAAAATTTCTTATTACATATTTACATACAAAGTAAGTGGAAAAGTTTGCACTTTATTCAGAGCGACTTAGTTGACTTGAGGAGGGAACTATGCAGTACTTCCATACGTGGAAAAAAAGGTACAGAGGGGTATTATCTGATTCCTGGCTTTGAAAGCATTCATTTTTAGAAAGTTGTATGTCAAGGTTAGGTTTCAATACTGTTCAGAGATTGTTTTTAAGTTGTAGAGGTTAGTGTCTATTATACTAAGGGAAGCGATGAACGATCGTTTTCCAAATTGAGACGAAGTACAACGAAAAAATAAAATGATGTTGTTTTTAAATAAATATTTTTTTTATGAATTTGGTACCGACCGTTTTAAGGAGTTCAATATAGGCAATTTTCCAAGAATGTACGTGCGTCTTGTGAATTTGTGTGTTGTACTTTTCTGATTCAAGGTTATTCGCCACTTTTCGCGAAGCCGACTATGATATTATTTTGTAGTGTAAAGGAAATAGCGAAGAGCTCTGTAAATGATACAGAGGGCTATGAATATGTTTCATAATATTAAAATGTTTTTATTTATGTTTGTTGAATTTATTGGTTTTATGATAGTGGTGTGTTTTTTGAGCACGGAGACACTTTTTATAGCTGAAAAAATGATTTAATCTTCAATATTGAGGGTGGTTTCTACATCAAACAAATTACTGTACTTTTTCCCGAATCCATATTCCGGAATGACAATTTTCCAGGAAGATCATTTCATGATAACCAAAATCCCGAATCCATTTTCCCAAAAGGCTGTATTCCCAAACAACAATATTTCACGAAAACAAATTACCTAATATCCTTTGTTTAAAAAAATGTTATTATTAGGTTATATAATATGTATATGGGTATATAGGTATGACGTATGAATATGTTATGTGTATATATATGTTACAGGCAAAGTGGAAAATTCGGACAATGTATACAATGCCCGGGCATTGCATACAGTGACCGGGCATTGTTTACAATGTCTGAGGGATATTGGGCAATGTAAATTGTGAAGTATTTATACAAATAATCTGCATAATATATTATGTTTTTATTGTAAATTATTTATATTACATTATTATACATAATTAAATAATCATCAATATAACATAATATATTATATGTATATTAATATTGTTTTTATTTTTTTTACAATAAATTACTATACTATTTAAACTAATTAATTAAAATTAAAATTAAATTATTTATTTTATTTAAATTAATAAATATTTATTTAAGCACTGCTCAATATAAACTGAATGACAGTATACTACAACTAAAGTAAAACTGTACGTACCAAAATTATATGCGATAAGATATTTATCGGTTTCGTTATTGGAATATATAGTGCATTCACAAAATGTCATTAGTGTTTAACCAAAGGATAGACGTAACATATAACTATTTATGCTTTATAAGAAAAAAAAATAATTAATATATTATATATTACTATGTCACTCAGTTTATATTGTGCAGTGCTTAAATAAACATTTATTTATTTAATTAAAATAAATAATTTAATTTAATTTAATTTTAATTTTAATTAATTAGTATAAATAGTATAGTAGTTTATTGTAAAAAAATAATATTAATATATTATATTATGTTATATTGATGATTATTAATTATGTATAATAATGTAATATTAATAATTTGCAATAAAAACATAATATATTATGCAGATTATTTGTATATATACTTCACAATTTACATTGCCCAATATACTTCGGACATTGTATACAATGCCCGGTCACTGTATGTATACAATGCCCGGTCATTGTATACATTGTCCGAATTTTCCACTTCGCCCGTAACATATATATAAATATATAGAATAGTGAGTTCCTAAATATATATAATTTTCATATTACAAAAACGATGATAGTTTAAGTATACCTTAAGTCTAAAGTAGGTATTACACAATATAGATTCCAGTCTCGGTACTTAAAGGGCCCCGGATGCATTTCTTCAGTTCAAAATGTTATTTCATAAAATGATAAAAAAGTACTTATTAGTAATGTAAAATATTATATTTTTTTAAAAGCGCATTATTTAAAATAAACAATTAAATTAACTAGTAACTACGTATAGTTTTAATAATTATTTATAATTTAAAAAAAAATATATAAATAATATAAATAATACCTTTTAATATTGAACAACTTAATATATTTTAATGCAATTCAAATTGTGTAATTGATTTTCTTTATATCAGTAATTTTT